TGCATATGTGGCATTTTATGATTCGTTTGTCATAAGTTTTAGCAACTTGGCTGCCAATTTACCACAGTGACTTGCCGGCCCGACCAATCCTCAGTGCAACAAAAGATAGGTGGGAGCATTTCTAACAGTGAATTAAATTTTTCACTAAATTTGAGTATAAAAAAATTAATTTTTTTAATTTGATATGGCTTGTTTCACCCATGTATCAAAAGGGAAGTGGTCGACCGTTTGGTTGACCGACTGGTCGATCGGTAAGGCCAATTTTTTTTTTATAATTTTTTTTGAACTGTTTGAACCTGTAATTTGAATCATTTAAACCAGTTCACAAGCCAATTTTTGCATGAGCCGATCGATCGGTTGGTCAACCTGGTGGTCGATCACTTAGTGTAAAATTTTCACAAATTTCTGTTTTAACGACTATGCATAGTGAATTAGTGAAAGGAGCTAGCCATCCTCCGTTTGGTGAAACATTTGTTATTTTTTCAATTTGATACCAATTTACTGAAACTATTGAAACTCTAAAAAGTAACTTTTTTAACAAATTTTTAATCTGATACAAGATTTGATAAACCGTTGGAGGTGACCTAATAAATGCTTTAAATGGTTTGAAAGTCCTCTTGTCATTTGTCCACAACCATTATTACCAATCATTTGGCTTCTCTCCATCTGTGTTTGGATTTAATAGATTTATTTTATAATAGATTTTCGTTTTAAGATTGGTTGATTATAATATTTACGTTAAAAATTAAAATAATTTGGTATTAGTAATTACATATTTTAATTAAATTTGTATTATAAAAAATTAAGAGTTATTTTTAAATTATATTTTTCATTTATTTCTTTAAAAATAAATATGATTAAAATATATAGTTATCAATATTCAAAACTTGTTTGGCTAGAACTTTTCTGGTTAAAAAATCACAAAAAATAAAATAAGTTAAATAATTCAATAAGATAAAATATCATATTTAAACCATAATCATTTCACTTCTACACCGGTCCGACATGACCCCGTAAACTGTCTTCTACAACGGTCCGACATGACCCCGTAAACTGTCTGCTACAACGGTCCGACACGACCATACCGTGTCTCCTATCCTGTTTTGTTTTTTATTTATCAGTTTACTTTTCTGTTTTGTTACTCTCTTCAAACTCAAGTTGGTTAGTTCCTATCCTCCTTGAGTTTGAGGGGGGCTGTTAATGTACACTAAACCTAACCCACTAACCTAACCCACTACATCCACTCCACTAAACCTAACACACTTACCATCTCCACTACCACCCACCACCTCCACTACCATCCACTACAACCACTCACCTACCTCACACTTCTCCTATATAATAGCTTGTAATATACAAAATCAATACACAACAATCTTGTAACAATACAACAATCAATATATACATACAATTTATTTTCTCTCTATCAATTTATCTTACACCGCTAACGTTTTAAGATTGGTTCATTATAATATTTACGTTAAAAATTAAAATAATTTGGTATTAGTAATTATATATTTTAATTAAATTTGTATTATAAAAAATTAAGAGTTATTTTTAAATTATATTTGTCATCTATTTCTTTAAAAATAAATATGATTAAAATATATAGTTATCAATATTCAAAACTTGTTTGGCTAAAGCTTTTCTGGTTAAAAAATCACAAAAAATAAAATAAGTTAAATAATTCAATAAGATAAAATATCATATTTAAACCATAATCATTTCACTTTTTCTCTCATAAAAGTCAAAAAAACTAAAAAAATCAAACAAAACAAAATTTTAATCCTAAGTTAAAATAGTAAAAAAATCAAAAAACTAACTAAAAAAATCAATTGCCAAATGGCAACTCAGTTATTTTGATTTTTTACATAAATATTATACCTAACAAGTCTTAGAAAATAAATAATACGGATCATTGAAATTGTCCAAAATGAGCCTATCAAACTAAAATGTTCTCTCAAGTTAAAATGACAATTTGAAAGAAGTTAAATTCTAAAAAAAGTTACAAAATTTAAGAATAATGAGGCCTTTCATACTCTCATATTATATATAAAATTTATCATTGTTGAGATTATTACAAAACCTGACAAAATCTTATACAAGCGTTTGTTTTAGACAGCACTTAAAATTAAATTAATTAAGTAAAATGAAATAAAGTTGTTTGATATTCAAAACTTGTATTGCATAATTTAATGGGATTTTTGGTGAGAACCCCCTTCCATGAGGCCTATTTTGTCTCAAGCCCACGGATGAAAACAATGGCCCCAAAAGCCCTCAATTAAAAAAATAACATGAATTGACCGAAATGTCCATCCATATATAAGGAGGGAAATATGAAACAATTACACCGTTTCTCTCCCTTCCCTCTGTTTCATCGATTGAAAACCCTCGTCTCCTCTGAATATCATCGTTCGAAATCCCTAGCAACGATTGTAACCCTTCTCCGAGTCTCATTACTCTGGCTCTCTGGAGCTACTTCGTTACAGTTTCGTCGATTGAAACCCTAGCAAGGTTACAGTTTCGTCGCTTGGTTCGTCGCTTGGCATTACGCTTTACTCTCTCTCTTGGACACACATTTTACAGGTGATTTTTTCCTCTTTCTGCTAGGTTTTCCATATTATGAAGTCTGCGTGGGTTTGTTTTCATATTGGGAGTGGTGTATGAGATTACGTTGGGTGAGTAGAATTTGGGATTTTTGGTTGGACTAAGCTTTGATTTCTGTAGTGTTTTGGTCCTGGCATTTCAATGCTTTCAAATTCACTTGCTTATAATGAGAGTATATTTTACTTATTACAGAGTAAAATTTTACTTTAACTCTAGCCTTTCCTCATTACGTTTTGATTTTTGTAGTGTTTTGCTCCTGCAATTTCAATGCTTTGAAATTCACTTGCTTCATGAATTTTTTAGAGTAAAATTTTACTTCCAACCAGAGTAAAATTTTACTTATAATGAGAGTAAAATTTTACTTTAAATCTAGCATTTGTTCATTACGCTTTGATTTATCATTTTGGGAGTGGTGTATGAGATTACGTTGGATGAGTAGAATTTGGGATTTTTGGTTGGACTAAGGATCATCTGTTCTAAAAATTTTATCATTATCTTAGAATACTTTAAATTACTAAATCATGTGAGAATGTTAAGGTTTAAAAATTTTGAACAGAGTAAAATTTTACTTTAACTCTAGCCTTTCCTCATTACGTTTTGATTTTTGTAGTGTTTTGCTCCTGCAATTTCAATGCTTTGAAATTCACTTGCTTCATGAATTTTTCAGAGTAAAATTTTACTTCCAACCAGAGTAAAATTTTACTTATAATGAGAGTAAAATTTTACTTATTTTGCTCATTACGCTTTGATTTCTGTAGTGTTTTGGTCCTGGCATTTCAATGCTTTCAAATTCACTTATTTATAATGAGAGTAGAATTTTACTTAATACAGAGTAAAATTTTAATTTAACGCTAGCCTTTGCTCATTACGCTTTTGATTTCTGTATTGTTTTGGTCCTGCAATTTCAATGCTTTCAAATTGACTTGCTTCATGAATTTTTCAGAGTAAAATTTTACTTCCAATCAGAGTAAAATTTTACTTTAAATCTAGCATTTGTTCATTACGCTTTGATTTATCATTTTGGGAGTGGTGTATGAGATTACGTTGGGTGAGTAGAATTTGGGATTTTTGGTTGGACTAAGGATCATCTGTTCTAAAAATTTTATCATTATCTTAGAATACTTTATATTACTAAATCATGTGAGAATGTTAAGGTTTAAAAATTTTGAACAGAGTAAAATTTTACTTTAACTCTAACCTTTGCTCATTACGTTTTGATTTCTGTAGTGTTTTGGTCCTGCCATTTCAATGCTTTCAAATTCACTTGCTTATAAAGAGAGTAAAATTTTACTTATTACAGAGTAAAATTTTACTTTAAATCTAGCATTTGTTCATTACGCTTTGATTTATCATTTTGGGAGTGGTGTATGAGATTACGTTGGGTGAGTAGAATTTGGGATTTTTGGTTGGACTAAGGATCATCTGTTCTAAAAATTTTATCATTATCTTAGAATACTTTATATTACTAAATCATGTGAGAATGTTAAGGTTTAAAAATTTTGAACAGAGTAAAAACATCATCCTTAATAAATTTACAACAATGTTAGAGGGCCACAATTTTTGTAGCCACAATGGCTTAAAACTGCTAAAACGACGTCGTTTTGACAGTTTTGAGCCATTGTGGCCCTCAAACATTTTCCATAAATTTATTTACATTGATACGACAAGAAGTTGAGTTTTAAATGATTGATTTCTAAACAAATCAACAACTGACATGCAAATTGTGTAGGGTACAAGTCCTTGTGTGCAATGCAAATGACCAATATGCATAATCTCACACATTTTATACTTTTACCACGCACATATTAGACTTACACCCTTCACACCCTACCCATGTTCTGCTTGCTTGAAACAATATAGGTCAAATATTGTTTCATTGATAAACCTAATGCGAGACACGAGGTTCACTAAAAGACACATTACTGCCCTTGAGAGAACACCTTTTGGGATGTTGTTTAAATGTTTTTGGAAGAAAGATGATGTGGTGTTAAAGAAGTTCAAGAAAGTTGATGATAATGTCATGGATATGATCAAATCTTATGACTTTCATGCAAAGGGATTTAAGCTTGGGGGAAAAACATGTGACATACGGGACAGTGATGTTACTTTGATTTTTGGGATAAAATCGGGAATGAAAAAAGTAGCTGTGTCATATCGGAAGAAACAAGAATCACCTTTTGTGCAGAGAAGGTTTCGTAATATGTCAAGAATATCTGTAAAGAGTTTGCGAGAGGCATTAGGAGATGCGTTGGAACGCACAACGAGAGTTGATGTTGAGGATGTTGCACGAATAATGTGTCTATTTGTTGTGGCGACTTTGCTATTACCAACAACTGGTCTAACAGTTGGATGGGCCTTTGTCGCCCTTGTAGAAGATTTGGAAATGATGAATTCGTATGCATGGTCGACTGTAGTTGCATCCACGTTGACTACATCAATCCATTCTTCATTAGGAAGTCCTGAAAATGTCACTGGATGTGTACTTCTTCTTTTGATAAGTAAATTGAACTACTTTAAATATTATGCAATGTATCTTTAGAGAATTAACTAATTTTGATTTTTTATTTTATAGTACTGGTTATGCGAGCATACTACCCTCATTCAACCTCAAGGAAAAAATTTGTGTCCAAGGCTCCTTCGATGGGACTTATCAACATTGAGGAAAAAGCTAATGAAGAGGTCATTGCAAACACTAAAGCCCGAAGAGGTATCATCTTTCAAAACTTAGCCTTACTAGTTCACTTTGTTTAAAATTATACGTACATAATTAAATCTTTCTCTTGAATAGAGTAAAAGTTTACTTACAGTCAGAGTAAACTTTTACTTTGAAACATAGTAAAATTTTACTTACTCTTGAACTGAGTAAAATTTTACTTACAATCAGAGTAAACTTTTACTTTGAAACAGAATAAAATTTTACTTTTACTCTTGAAGAGAGTAAAAGTTTACTTTAAATCAGAGTAAAAGTTTACTTACAATCAGAGTAAAATTTTACTTACTCTTTAACAGAGTAAAAGTTTAAATCAAAGTAAACTTTTACTTGAAATCAGAGTAAACTTTTACTTGCAATCAGAGTAAAATTTTACTTACTCTTGAACAGAGTAAATGTTTACTTTAAATCAGAGTAAAAGTTTACTTTAAATCAGAGTAAACTTTTACTTACAGTCAGAGTAAACTTTTACTTACTCTTGAATAGAGTAAATGTTTACTTAAAATTAGAGTAAAAGTTTACTTACAATCAAAGTAAACTTTTACTTTGAAACAGAGTAAAATTTTACTCTAGTGGTTAAAGTTTGCTTAATTGCTGGCTTCTTTTCTTTTTCTATTTTTCAAATGCAGGTAAATCACAATGAACTGAAGCCCATTTCCAGAGAAGAAATGGCCCTCATTTGCAATGATGATGAAGAAGATGCATTGGAAATAGAGGAAAATTTGGAGACTGAAGAAGATGCATTGGACATGGAGAAAATTTTGGAGACTAAAGAAGATGCATTGGACATGGAGGAAAATTTGGAGACTGAAGAAGATGAAGATCATGTAGCTGAAGCTTTAGGAGATGATCAACCTTTGAAGGACTTCATTGATCTTCAAAAAGAAAACAAAAGGCTGAAAAGTGAGAATATGGCGTTGGTTGAAGAACTGAAGAAAATGAGGGAAACAATGCAAAAAATAGAAGAGGATCAAGAGGCAAAAACAAAAGAAACGATGGAAAAGATGAGCAACACAGAGAAAGAAATGGAGAAACTGAGAAAGGAGATTGAAGTACTCGAATCTGAAAATAAACAATTGGTTGAATAGATTGAAGAAAATGCAGTTCATGCGGCTACCCAAGGTTTTGCTTCTAAAGAAATGCCACATGCTGAAGGAGTAGAACAAGAGCAAAACATTGGGATTCAAAGTACATTGAAAGAATCACCTATAGTCGTAGAGCCATTGCAAACATCCATGATCAGGAAAATCAAAATCAAGGCGAGGAAGAAAAAAGAGATGTTTGATTTTGAATGTGAGCCAAGAGAGGCAAAGAAAAAAAAGACCACAAAATAAGCAATTGAAGTGATGCCAAAAGAAGTGATTTGTGTTGACAACTTGTCTCTAAGCCAAGCAAAGCCAGTTGAAAGGGTTTTGTTTCCAGATAAGGCTGCAATATCCAAATTGCTTGATGAGAATGATAAGTGTCTACTGAACAAGATTTACAATTTGGAAACCACAGAGTAAGACCATTTTAATTTTGTTAAACAATAGATTTTTACTGTTATCAAACTGCAACGTGTTAATCAACATTTTTTTTACCTTATGACTAGTGCAATCATATGGTCCGGCACAGGAAATGGAGTATATGTTACATTGCATGATGTGGATGCAATTCTGAGAGATGGTGATACTGCAAATAATGTAAGTGGCCATACAAGTTTCAATGACTAGTGTTCACTTTAATAACTAAAAATAGTTTATTTTATTAACATATATTTAATTGATTTTTGTTTTTGTAGGTCATTGACAGCTTCATAGAAATGCTTGAGATTGAGCAACAAGTCAAGAAGCCAGAAAAGAATAAATCATTCTTTTTCTCAAGCCTTTGTTGGGTAAGCCATCAATTTGTATTTAGTTTGAATTGATAAATTTTTACTATGGTTTAGTGTAGCATTGTACTGTATTTTGGAGTTAATTTTTACTATTTGGTTTGCCAAAGATTGACAACTCATACAGTGTGTCACTAACACAACTTGAGACATGACACTCTTATATGATTAAATGCAGTCTTTAGTGAAATGGGGTTATGGGGAGCTGAGAAATCATTTAATTGATAAAGTCCTTCAACAAGATTTGAGTGGATATAGATACCTTCATTTTTGCATGAATTCCAATGGGAACAAAAAGGAAGAAAAACCCTACCACTGGACACTTCTTGTATTTGACACTGAACTTGATGAGTGGAGACATTACAATTCTTTAAGGCCAAGAGACAACAGAGAAGATCCTTACCTTAAGGATGCAAAAAAGATTGTAAGTGCTTTGCATCATATTAACAGTAATTTTTTGTTGTGTTTTATTCTTGAATTTAATCGTGACCAACAATTATGCAATGATGTTAGATAACATATGTGGATAGCAAGTTGGCCAACAAAACGAAAAGAGGTAGAAAAAAGTTTGCAAACTTGGTTTCGGTGAAAGATAGTCCACAACAACGCCCAACATCGTGAGTATTTCACGCTACTATTACATGCTTGAATTGGTAGTTTTCAAATTTGACTAAATCTAACAAGATATTGATTTTTATTTAACAATGTTGATTGTGGAATTATTGTATGTCATATCATGCGCCAAATCATAAGAGATGAGCCTATTGCAAATTCTATGGAAGATGATGAAATTAACAATTTTTGAGCATCAATAGTGCATCAATTTTTGAATGATTATCCAAAAGCATGGACTGAGGAACAGTTCAACCTCAAACAAAAAATGGGCAAGAGCTAAGACCTCAAGGATGACAATGTGGACAAGTTCTGGGGAACTACTGTGAATGATTTTTGTAATTTCGGTTTTTGTAAATGAAAGAACGGTGAAAAAGTAATTGTAAGTAAAAGAATACTAAAAGAGTATTAGATAGTAGATGTTATGTCTATTGTTCTAGTAAATTTTACTGTAGTTTGGTAATTATTATACAAGGATATTTTGTTTTGACTGGGAATGAATGTTGTTATGGATAGAATACAATGATATAGGTAGAGGCTTAAATTTTTTTTCACTGAATGTTGCTATGAATGTTGGAATGAATGTTGCTATGAATTTTGTTTTGACTGGGAATGTAAGTGAAATGAATGTTGCTATGAATGTTGTTTTGAGTGGGAATGAATGTTGATGATATATGTAGTTGTGTTAGATTTTTTTTGCACAAAGATTGCATGATGATCATCATGGGAGTTTGTGTGTTGTGGATTTTGGTGCAAGTTGGAAATGTTTTTCTAAGGGGACTAACATATTTTCTGAAATAAAGCAAAATTTTACTTTCAAATGAAGTAAAATTTTACTCTGAAATGAAGTAAACTTTTACTCTGCATAAAAGTAAAATTTTACTTTATATTTTGAAAGACTCTGTATCTAAAAGTAAAATTTTACTCTGCATAAAAGTAAAATTTTACTCTGAAATAAGAGTAAAATGTTACCAGAAGAATCTGAAAGTAAAATTTTACTCTGCATAAAAGTAAAATTTTACTCTGAAATAAGAATAAAATGTACACTCTGAATCTAAGAGCAAAATGTTATAGCCGGAATAAGTAAAATTTTACTCTGTATAAAAGTAAAATTTTACTCTGTATGAAAGTAAAATTTTACTCTGAAAGGCGAGTAATATTTGGACTCTAAATCTAAAAGTAAAATTTTACTCTGTACAAAAGTAAAATTTTACTCTGTATGAAAGTAAAATTTTACTCTGAAAGGCAAGTAAAATTTGGACTCATCTAAAAGCACAACTACAAGAAAAATTTTACTCTGTATGAAAGTAAAATTTTACTTTGAAATAAGGTAAAATTTTAATATAAAAGTAATATTTTACTCTGAACATAGTAAAATTTTATTGTGAAACCACAAGCTCCTCACACCCATAGACAACCATTCGACGACAAAACAAATCAAAAACTAGAACAGACAACCATTCAAGAACATAGTAAAAATGTCTTTTATTGCAATGTCTCCTGACAAATCTAGTCTAAAAGACTATACTATTATTGCTATGGACTACTTATTGCAGAAGAACTGCATTATTTTCATACTTCTATTATAAAATCAATAATGTCTTTCACGGCAATGCCTCCTTACAAGTCTTCCTATTATGACCGTACTTCTCGCATCTATCACACTGTACTCGTCTTATCTTCTCACCCCTAGATGGGATCCTATTCTTCCTTGGCCTACCAGGTGGCTTCTTACAAATTGGAGGAAGGACAACAAGATCATCCATAGCTACAAGAGGTTTCTCAACAGTGGGTATTGGATAAATGGACTCAACATAGCAATCTTTGAACTTGCTAGTGTAATAAAATGGTTCCACATGTGCATACAAATCACCTCCGCTCTTTTGGATAGCAGTCGCCGCGTGAGCACAAAGAAATCCATTCAATTGCCATTGGTAACATGAGCAAGTTCTATTCAAGAGGTCAACACTAACCGATGGCCAGGATTGAACCTCAAAAATGTGATCACTTGAACGACTAACCAGCCAAGTTATTCCACTTTTAAGAGCATTTACTAATGTTGAATCCATCTCCGGACAAAGAAAAGTATTCCATTTCTTAGCTTGTTCTCTCCTTCTCGACATCAAATCCATGATCTTCAACCTAATTGAATCAATCATCTTTGTAGTGGGCAAATGGCGAGCTTGACGGATCCATGAATTGAAAGACTCTGCCACATTCGAGTGCATTTCACCGTATTTTTGTCCTTTAAAATATGCATTACTCCACTTGTCATAGGGCAAATTGGATAGAAACCCACAAACGATCCCTTTTCCCTCATCTTATAATTCTTTCAAGCACTGATTAAAACATTCCACTGTCGGAGCGTAAGCACACAAAGAAAACAAAAAAACTATTCTATTCCTGAAAGTATTGCTGAAACTTGGACCAGAGAACCTATTCCTCAAATTGGCCTTCAAGTGTTGGAGACAAAAATTGTGGTAAGCAGTAGGTAAAACCTTGGGTAAAGCCTCCAAAAGTCCAGCGTTCCGATCAGATATGAAGGTAATTGGTCTTTCATCCAACAATATATTCGACAAATGCATAAAAAACCATTCCCAACTGTCTGTAGTCTCTGTATCGACAATTGCCATTGCAAGCGGGGAAAAACCTGAAAAATAACATTTTACAATTAGTAAGTATCTTAAACGAAAAGGACAAATAAAGTAGATTTTTACTCTGAATAACAATAACATGTTAATTTGAGAATAAGTAACTTGTTACTTTGGAATAAACTATAGTAATATCTACCTTGATCCCCATCCTTCGTTGTAGCTGTTAACAAGGTGCCCTTATATTTCCCCTTCAGAAAAGTTCCATCGATAAACAATAGAGGACGACAATGCCTAAAACCTTGAATGGAAGCATTAAATGCAACAAAAAACCTCTTGAACCGTCCACTTTGATAGTTATAGTCAAGACGCAAATAGCTACCAGGATTTGTGCTCATCACAATATTCATATACCATCGAATCTCATCATAAGACAGAGAGAAATCTCCAAAAGTAGTAGTCCTAGCTTTCTCAACTCCCAACCAAGCGTGATTGTACGTAATGGTGAGCCCGTATTGATCTGTAAATTGACGCACAACATCAATTGGACGAGTTTGGGGATTCCCACGAACTTCATTAACAATCAAACTTGCAACCAAATTTGAACTCATCCTTGAGTTTTTAGAAGTACGAACTGCAGCTCCACAAGTATGCTCATCATGTAGAGTCCTAATGTAGAAAAAATTATTAGCACTTTCCAGAGATGCATGTACTCGCCATAAACAAGCTTTCGACTCCCGCATTGAACACACAGCAGTGACCCGACACTTCTCATTCTTCACATACACAAACTCAAATCCTATTTCAATGGCATATTTACATAATGCAGTCCGAAAATCCTTTGCACCTCCAATAAATCTTTGACCTAGATGAGTAATTCCATTCACCCATCCACAAGACAACAAAGTCCTTTCTTCATGTTGACAAAACATAGGGAGTAAATTCATTTCATCATCAGTAATGTTGGCTCCAGTAGCGTTCCCTGATTCTCCAACTCCATGTTTTTCATTTGAAATGCCCATTTCACTAATAGTCACATCAACCCGGTCAACACCAAGGGGATAAACAAGCGACAACATATTCTGAAAATTAGAATCATCATCAATCATGCATTGCAAATGTCCAGGCAAACAGTACGATAACAGTATGCAACCACTATTGTCAAACTTCTTCAATTTACAACTTAAGAAATCAGTTAAATCCTTCAACGTGCAGTTTGACACAACCTTGAACACAATGGTACGATCACCATATTTGCATAACAACATAAGAGGTGGAACCATTTTACAAATCTGCAATCAATTAACAGTAAAATTTTACTCTGCATAAAAGCAAAATTTTACTCTGATATATGAGTAAAATGTTACAAAAGGAATCTAAAAGTAAAATTTTATTCTGCAAAAAAGTAAAATTTTACTCTGCATAAGAGTAAAATTTTACTCTGAATCTAAGAGTAAAATGTTGCGGCCTGAATTTGAAAGTAAAATTTTACTCTCTATAAAAGTAAAATTTTACTCTGTATAAAAGTAAAATTTTACTCTCATTGTAAACAGAGCAATCGAACCAGAGTAAAATTTTACTCTGATATAGGAGTAAAATGTTACAAAAGGAATCTAAAAGTAAAATTTTATTTTGCAAAAAAGTCAAATTTTACTCTGCATAACAGTAAAATTTTACTCTGAATTTAAGAGTGAAAATGTTGCGGCCTGAATTGGAAAGTAAACTTTTACTCTGTATAAATGTAAAATTTTACTCTCATTGTAAAAAGAGCAATCAAGCAGAGTAAAATTTTACTCTGATATAGGAGTAAAATGTTACAAAAGGAATCTAACAGTACATAAAAGTAAAATTTTACTCTGCATAAGAGTAAAATTTTACTCTGAATTTAAGAGTAAAAATGTTGCGGCCTGAATTTGAAAGTAAAATCTTACTCTGTATAAATGTAAAATTTTACTCTACATAAAAGTAAAATTTTACTCTCATTGTAAACAGAGGATTCAGACCAGAGTAAAATTTTACTTTGATTCTCTGAAACAAAAGGCACCGCAATAGAACCAGAGTAAAATTTTACTCTGATTCTGTCAAACGAAATCAGATCAAACACAACAAAAATAAATCAAACAAACAAAAATAAAAAAAATTCATTACAAATCAACATACCTAATTGAGAAGAATAACCTCTACAACTCGATCAACAATCACAAATCTCAATGAAACTTTCGTTTAATTGAGAGTGTTGATCATCGGCCACCAAGTAAGAGATGTTCGGCTGCGAGATCGTCTATTGTTGAACAAGTGAGAGATGTTCGGCTACGAGATCTTCAGATCTGAAAATCGTCTTCATCGATTTTGTGAAGTATGATCGATTTGGAGCTCAGATTTCAAATTTTTACGTATGATACTATATAAGGGCAATATTGTGATAAAAAAAAAATTAGAAATTATAAAATGTCCTTATTAAGTTAAGCATTTCTTACTGAGGGACTTTTTGAAAGAAAATTAATTGGGTTATCCTTTACCCTAATAAAAAGGCCCAAAAGGGGGGTTCCACCAAAAATCCCTAATTAAGTAGGTTCCTTTTAAATCTAAGGGCGTTGACTTTTATTTTAAATGGGATCTCTCTCCCAGCATTAGTTGAAGTGTTCGTAACTGACCTGAATATTTAATTATTAAAAAAAATAAAATAACAAAAATAAGTAGCTACTAACTTATTTAGGGATTGTTTAGAATGATATAAATAAGTATATTTTTTAATTTTGTATGAAAAGATATACAAAAACTAGAGAGGTGATATTACCAAAATAAGTGCATATGCCAAATAGGGCCTTAATTTGTTGAATGTATGAAATTTTATTATTATTTTTTAAGGTATTTACGCCATAAGTCCATTTTTTTAATCTTTTGGGCCTAATGGTCCAAGCTCTAATCTCTTTGGGCCAAAGAATAAAATTTGTCCAAAAAAGATACCATCTGTTGAAATCATTATATCTGTCTATCTCTTGAAATCATTCCATTTGTCTATCCGTTTAAACTCACTAAGCCTGTTTTGCTATCTATTGAAATTCACCAAACAACTTATCTGTTGAAATATGACACATGTCATCCATTCAATACCTTATTTGTTTAATATAACACATTTCTCTACATCACCGCCACCGCCACCACCTATTGCCACTAGCGACTTTTCTGATTTGTCTTTGTCACAAAATAAGATTTTTTTTTTCTTGAATCTAATGCCTTTTACACAATTTTGGATGAACTTTTAACTATTTTTTTTTCTATATTTTATATAATATTTTTACTATCACATATTTTCACAACAAATCTTTATTACTTTCACTACAATTATAATTAACCATATAGCCACCAACCCTCAACCATCACCTTCTTACCACTGCCACCACCACAACTATAACTATCACATCCACCACATATACCATCATTATCCGTTTCTTGCCAATATATCTTGAGCGCCACTACTACATACACCACTTACACCACCATCCTATCATTTCCACCCAAGACCACCATTGCCACCTCTGTATACTATAATACTACCATTACTACCCATCCACAGCCAAAGCACCACTATGCCTCCTCTTCTACCTCCTCCATCACACCCACCATCATTTCTCTATCTCAATTAATCTCCCATCTAACGATGTTGACACCACCATGCCACCACCACAATGTCACCACCAAAATATATAAATTAAAAAAAATAATAATAATAGTAAAATTTAATTTTTAATTTTAGATTCTTATATCGAATAATTTATTTTAATATGGCATTTCAATTTTTATCAAACAACATTTCAATTTTAAAAAATTAACATTCAATTTTCAAAACTTTATTTTCAAATTTCAGCTTTCAATTTCAATTTTAATTTTATCTAATTGCACTTAACTTTAGATTTTTTTTTTTTTTTTTTTTTTTGTTGGTTGGATCAAACTTAACTTAGATTTGAATGAGGCTTTTCAACAAAATATATTACCCTAAAAAAATTATGCGTCACTTCCACGAAGAGAAAAAAAAAAAAAATAAATAAATAACTTGTTTAAGTCTTTAATTTATATTAAAAGTGAGTTTTTTTTTTTAAAGGTTAAATACACTCTTAATCCCAAAGTATGTGCTTTTATTTCATTTTGGTTCCCATATTTCAATTATCAATTTAGTCCACAATTTATGTAATTTATGTTTAGAGAAATGCTATTGAACCCTAAAACATCATCCTTAATAAATTTACAACAATGTTAGAGGGCCACAATTTTTGTAGCCACAATGGCTTAAAACTGCTAAAACGACGTCGTTTTGACAGTTTTGAGCCATTGTGGCCCTCAAACATTTTCCATAAATTTATTTACATTGATACGACAAGAAGTTGAGTTTTAAATGATTGATTTCTAAACAAATCAACAACTGACATGCAAATTGTGTAGGGTACAAGTCCTTGTGTGCAATGCAAATGACCAATATGCATAATCTCACACATTTTATACTTTTACCACGCACATATTAGACTTACACCCTTCACACCCTACCCATGTTCTGCTTGCTCCTTGCAAAATTTGCAGTAGTGAGGAAGATGAGGTGTGGTGGGCAACAAGAGGGGCAAAAGGGGTTTTGGTGGTTCTAGTTGATAAGGTTTGGGTCAATTAAGTTGTTATGTTTGGCAAGGATAGGTTGGGAGTGGTAGAGGTGGGTGAGGGAAGTGGCAGGGGTGACAAGAACGGGTGAAGAAGACCCAGCCAGCCCAAACTTAAAATGGACAATTTTGATGTAACGGATGGCATAGATGTTGCTCTGGCAATTGTCAAAAGATTGAGTTTCGATCGAGTGGCGAATATAGAAGATTCCATCAACGGAGCTCGATCCAATTAGGCTTTCAATTAAAATATAGATATATTTACATATTATTAAAAAAGACACTTTTTTATTTTAAAATTAAAAAAAAAGAAAAAGAAAAAGAGAGAGAGAACGCAAAATAGGCCCACAGAAAGCCTAAATCATAAAAGAAAATAATTGAGAAAACAAGTTTAAAAATGCCCAATATACAGCATGTCAATAAGCCCGTCCGCTTAGTCGATGTAGATATCATGAATGGTTGGATGCGAATGAAATTTTCTCAGTCCGATCCCATTTAATGGAGTGATAAATAACTTGCAACCTAACCCGTCCCATCCCGTGAGCACCCCCAGCGAAAACCTTTACGCTCTTTGCATACAGGGAAAACCTTTACTCTGTTTGCACTAATATTAAAAGAAAATTCAAGCTAAGGAATTTTTCTCCTAATTTCATATATTTGTATTTTCTTTTTTTGCCAGTCTGCCACCTGTGGTGTAATTCTGAAAAAATTTCCACTAATTTGCAATAATTAGGCCCTGCTTGGGGTGTCAATTTTTTTGACTAAAATAATAAAAAAAAATCAAAACACCCAATCACATGCAACTTGCTTGTTTTCATTTTTCAGAAAACACTTTTTAAAAAATTATATTTTCTAATTTTTTGTGTTTTTTTGTTTTTATTAAATTTTTTTAATATTTTAAGCAATTTTTTTTTACTTTTTAGACACACTTAACATAAATACGCCTAAAAAGTAAAAATATTGTAAAAAAAAATCTTTTAAAAATTTACTAAATACCAAAAATACAAAAAAATACAAGAATTCAGTATTTTTTTTTATATTTTTTTTATGTATTTATTAATTTTTAAAAATATTTTTTCACAATTTTTTTACTTTTTAGATGCATCTAACTAAGGTGCATCTAAAAAAGTAAAAAAAAAAAATTTAATTTAAAAAATATTCTCTAAAAACAAAAGAATACGAAGACCAAAAAACACAGTTTTCAAAAAAACTTAATCTAGAAAACTCAAACCAAACACACTGATTATTTTTATTTTTATTTTTTATTTTTTTAACACATCTCTTTTCATAAATTAAAAAAAAAATAGTAATTTCTTAAACAGCCTCAGCCCCCAAACTCCGCTGGCACATTATTTTTCCTTTTATTTATCTGATCATCCCACTAAAAAAGTATTGGATGATAGACACCATGCCACCGACATTCCCACGTACTTAAACATGCATAAATTGAGCAATAGAAATTCAATTTTGTAAAGAATGGTCCTAAGAGTATTCTTGGCAATTTGTGCAGTTGATCATTGTTTTAGGCATTGAGTTATTCTGTCTACAAAAAAGTGTTCCTCTGTTTTATTTCTCATAATTATAGGATTTCATTTTTTTAAAGTGAAAATTATATAAAAAATAGATTATGTGGCTTTAAATTCATGAGTAGAGAACAAAGGCCCTGTTTGGTATAACTTAATTTCAGCTTATTTCAACTTACAATTTAATTTAAACTATTTTGATGTGTTTGGTTTAGCTTAACAATACAGCTTATAGCTTTTTACAAGTCAGAAATCAACTTATTCTTAGAGTGGGGCAGGAGAAACTTAATTTATAAGTTAGAAATCAGCTTATGGAAATAGTTATAAGCTATAAGTTGTTAAGGTATAAACTATAAGCACTTTTTCACAGTTCTACCAAACAGGGCCAAAGTATCCGATGTCAATTTTGAGACATTTTCAGTCAAAAACAAACATAAAGACTTGAATAAAATCGCTAGCAACACGAGAGATACGGATAAAACACCAATTATATCTACATAACTTGCGAAATATAGGCTATATCTATTTGTTTGCAGATTTATAATGAATGCTACATCCATAGAAGCAATTTTTTTTTAGTGATTTGATGCAGAGTTCACTCAATCTCAATAAATTTTTTCATCTGCATCATTCACAAGATCACTGGAACCACTAGATACTCGTATTCTATACTCAACCTATCACATACAATGCAATCACTTCAGTTTTTTTTTTTTTTTTTTTTTTTTTTTTTTTTTTTTTTTTTTTTTTTTTTTTTTTGTGTGTACAACATTCGAGACCTTTAACAAACAACAAAAGTTACAATGGAAGTCATTGAAACAAAATAAAGTGACTGTTCTTATTGTTCTTTCGGAGCATGGTGCTTAATAAAAAAGAGAGTCAAAGCGAAGAGAAAATTGGGACACCGGGTAAGGTCGCACCAGCATCAACAATGAAAATGTTGCCTGAAATATACTCTGAAGAGTCATGAATTAAGTACCGTACAAGTGACGTCAATGCCGGGTCTACTGTGCCATACTCTCTTAGAGGGACGGTTCTCAAAGCCACATTTTTTAACCAATTTTTTTGCATGAGACCCTCTGTGATCTCAGATTTGAAAAGTCCTGGAGAAATTGCGTTTACTCTGATTTTGTTTTCGCCAAGTTCTATCGCCATCATCTGCAATTAATTAATGTGAATAAGATTATCGTTATATTGAGTAAATGATAAATTGAATATACATGATTACTATGGCAGTGGTAATGTCTATCAATTGTACATGAATTGAATATAAAACAGAAAGCATACAGAAAATGATTTATATATGGACACACTACTTCATCCATCGAGTTCTGTGTTTCTGCATCAGAATTCTTGGGCTCATCTCAAACAACAACAGAAATGACATGTCACTATAATTTAGAGCACATAAATAACTAGAAGTGTTGTTTTGTAGTTATTGAAAATCGCAGATCTAGCACAAAATACGATGGATACAGCAGCCAAACAGTTGATGAAATTCATAATTCACTTAATAAATCATCTTCTGGACCAAAATTAATAGGGGCTTCATGATTCAAAAAACTCATTCTGGGGCATACATGCTTTCTTGTATTACATGCTTAGTTAAAATAGGATATATAGCACATGGATTATATAAAGAACACTAGAAAACAAGTGCAAGTCAAACACCAAATTAGCTTGCTACCATTGGCAACTAATTCAGTATAACATGTCCGATGAACAGAATGTTACGTTCACTTAGATGAAGCTCATGGATCACCCAAGAGCTCAGTGGAGTGTGGAATATCATTGATGGAGATGAAGGAAACTTGGTGTACAATAAGAATTGTGGTGGGTTTTGGCTGTGGAAAGGTTCTAGGGTTAGGTCATATGAGGTAAATCGAAGTGTCCAAGTTCTAGATGAAAAATATTAATTTGGGCTTCATTGTCAAAAGTCTTTAGTTGCAGGATTTCCTGAATAAGTTGAAGAATTTATATGGACAGCAGACATTTAGTGCAGATTTAGCAGCTAAAGGGTAAGGTTAAAAGTTGGCTAGGGTTTAGGGGCTGGAAGGGGAGCGTGTACCCTTTCTAGTCAAACTTTGTTCATCGCAACTCATCATAATTCTGTTTAATATATTAAGGCACGTAATTGATAAACATATAATGCCTGATTTTCACCATGCAGTGCATTCTTAAAATTTAGGGAAAACTTCACTTTATGTCTTTGTGGTTTACTCCATGTGAGATGTACCCTATCACTTGGAAATAATAACATAACCCCATGGTTTGTGGACTAAAGTGCACCATTAGATATTCCGTCCAAGTTAATAGTAAGTGTGAAACACATGCCAACAATAAAGGAGTCAAGTGCTCAATTCTAAACATTAAGGGGTAAAGCAAACATAAAGTAAAACACAAGGGGGTTAAAGTAAATTCTACCCCCCAAAAATGACGAAAATATCTGGTAGTTTGCACAATGAGGTTACTTATGTACAATGATATTTTAATCTTTTTGCTTAAGCCATTAACAGGCCTGACAGTGTACTTTAATCCATAAACCACAGGGGCTTATTTGCTTATTTGAAATGATAGGGGGTTTTGTGCATAAGGGACAAACCACAAAGGCATAAAGTGCAATGTGCCCAAAAATTTAAACCAATTTCACCCAGCCATGCCGCCAAGTCCAAAAGCCATGTTACATACAAGACTGAGATGTTAATATGTTATGAAACCTCACCTTCGTCATAGTATTTACCGCTGCCTTTGAAGCAGTATATGCAAGACTTCCAGGTAAATGCCCACGGCTAAGACCAGCAATAGAGGAAATATTGATGACTGAACCTCCCTTATTAGCAGCAAGCATGCGTAAGCAAACATACTTCGTCACTAACCATAATCCTGTCATGTTTGTTTTAATAATACTATTCCATTCATCCTCTGATAAATTCAACACTGATTTTACGTTACCTGAGATACACAGAAGAGTAAGTTGTATAAAAAGTGCCAAATAGGAGCTCAAATTAAACACTAAGACCAGCAATAGAGGAAATATTGATGACTGAACCTCCCTTATTAGCAGCAAGCATGCGTAAGCAAACATACTTCGTCACTAACCATAATCCTGTCATGTTTGTTTTAATAATACTATTCCATTCATCCTCTGATAAATTCAACACTGATTTTACATTACCTGAGATACACAGAAGAGTAAGTTGTATAAAAAGTGCTAAATAGGAGCTCAAATTAAACACAGATACATAGTCCAACGAAGAATATCTCAATCTAATTCGTTTGGGATTGTAGGGTTTATAGCCAAAAAGCCATTACAAGTTATCACATCACTCTCTCTACTTTCTACATGTATTTTCATAAAAAACAAAAAATTCAACTAAAATAGCCAGTTCCCAAACGGGTTGCAAGAGGTTGATATGAACCTCCATAATACAGATGTAAAAGACAGAAGAAAAGGAAAACCAAACCATCTAACAGATGAAACTAACATCTAACAGTACAACATTAGTTAGGCTTCTTTTAAGTGAACAGTCATATAGGATTCAGTTAGTACTATCCATTTACACACAGAGACAGTCTTAAGCAGATCTTGATTCCATAAATGTAAGAGATCTGTTCAAATACATGATTGCAATACATACTTCATTATGCAAAAATGTAGTCTATAACCTAGTGCCAACTAAATCCAACATGATTCAATCATTGTCGACCTGGATGTCTGATAATCACTATGGTGATATGCCTTACTGATGTGTTTCATTTCCAATCCAACTTCAAAAACTGAAGATCATGGAACACCAAGAAAAGGAAAAAAAAAAAAGAAAGAAAAAGAAAAGCCCGTAGCAGCTGGGGTTGATGGTGATTGTGTGTCTCATCATCATTGATTCAAATTTCCTTTGGCTCAATGGTTGCTAATCAACTTTGAGGTTGCATGCCGAAAAAATATCATCAGTACAAAACAAGTAGGAAAATAACCTGTCAGTGTAGAAGACCAAAACAATTTACAAATCAGTGGGAATCTTTTTGGGCACAAGTCTAAGGTGTGTAGGGAGAGGGTTTTAAATATTAGCCATTATTATGTATCATATAGGCCATTACAATGGGATTTTAGCCTTTCGATATGTTTATTCACTGATATATCAGCCGATAATGTTCAAAAAATTCTTCTTACATTCAACATAAGGAGAATGGTTGTAGTTATACTTTTTTGAGTGTATTGTATCACCGATGCCCATTGATATTCTGATTCCGTTATTTAAAATCACCTTGCTCCTACATTTATAGTTTTGTGCCCCATTTCCTACTGATTAGTTATTTTCCAAACAAAAATGATTGAGAGCTCTAGAAAGAGAACTCTAGAAGAACTCCAAATGGGTGGGACTTCCCTGTGATGTGATGTGATGTGTGTCTTCTTTTTTTTTTTTTTTTTTTGTGTTTTTTTTTTTTTTTTTTTTTTTTTTTTTTGGTCACATGTATAGAGCTCTCTTTAGAGGAGATGGGGTCACTATTGTGCCTTTAACACAACAGTGACTGTTGTGCCCCAATTTAAGGTATATTATGGATTTATTTTTATGATCTGAACCGTTCATTTTGTAGGATTTGTTGAGTACTTCATGTCTACCAAAAATCATATTAATCGGATATCAATAACTATACGATCGAATTGCATATTTTTTATGTTATTTCTCAAAAGAAAAACTTACTATTTATTTTTTTGGTTATCGATCGTATAGTTATTGATATCCGATTAATATGATTTTTGATATGCATGAAGTACTCAACAAACCCTACAAAATGAACGGTTTGAATCATAAAAATAAACCTATAATACGCCTCAAATTGAGGCACAACAGTCACTGCCGTCACATTAGCACAACAATGACCCATTTCCTTTATAGGTCAAATATTAAAAGCTCTTATCCTTCTTGTTTTCCAAATGAGTTTGGCCCTTTAGGCTCAGTTTGCTTAGCTTGAAAGTAATAAAAAGTAAAAAGAAACTAATTTTTTTTTACAACCTATATTAACATTATAATTAATTTTTAAGTTCTTGTGCGGAAAAAAATAAATAAAAAAAAATTGAATAAAATTTAAAACTTTTGTTTTAATCCTTTTTAACAAAATTTTCATTGTAATCAAATGCTTGCAAGAAAAAATGTTTGGTTTCAGTTTTTAGAAATTGATTTTTTTATTTTTTATTTTTTATTTGTTTTTGGTAAACATTTTTAAAATTTAAATTTTTTTTTTACTTTTTTAAATGCACCTTATTTAGATCCATCTAAATAGTAAAATATTTGTAAAAAAATATTTTAAAAAATTAATAAATACACAAAAAATATATTGACTTTTTGCAATTTTTTTTATATTTTTGATATTTAGTGATTTTTTTTTAAAAAAATTCATAAATATTATATTATTAAGTATATTTATGCTAAATATATCTAAAAATTTTAAAAAATACTTAAAATATTAAAAAAATTCAATAAAAATAAAAAATACAAAAAATGATAAAAATAATAAAATAAATAAAAAAATAAACATTAATGTTAAAAAAAAAATCCAATATTTAAAAAATAAAAAAATTTATAATCTCCTCCCTATTTTTTTAACACCACCTCTACTTTCTCCCTTTCAATTCCTTTCCAATCTTACTCCCCTCTCCATCTTAATTCATTTCTCAACTCTACAAACAAACACGCGGCACCGACCCCACCTACATCTTAATCTCACCCCCCACCCTCCCCACCAAAAACCAACGTACCCTCCGTAACTTTTAGCTGAACATAAATCATAAATCAAGGCAAAGAACAGGTACTTTGGCAATGTCTCGAGGTCGAGACAGAAGTCTTTTTGTGAAAACTAGTTTGTCCAAGGCAAATTTGTCCAAAACCATAAATCACTCTATTAGAAAGAAAATGCAAGAAATAGAAAAGAAAATCACTCTTGAAGGATCCAAAACCATAAATCAAGGCAAATTTGTCCAAAACCATAAATCAATCCAAATTACCTCTAACACCAGCATTGTTGATCAGAGCATCAATGGTTCCAAACGCGTCCCAAGCCTTCTGCACAGCCGACTCGATAGCTGGCCCGTCGGCGCTCACGTCGAGCTCCACGGCCACGGCCCGAATCGAGCTCGAACCAGCCGAGTCGCTGCTGAGCCGGTTAATTTCATCACAGAGGGACTCGAGCCGGTCGATTCGCCGAGCCGCAGCGATGATCTTGCAGCCGGCTTTAGCGAGGTCGAGACAGAAGTCTAAGCCGATCCCCGAAGACGCGCCGGTGACCATGACCACCTTGTCGCCCAAGTGGCGCCACGGTTCGAGCTGGCTCGCCATTGGTTCGATCTCAAGCTCTTCAACAATCTTCTACAAAAGTTCTTATTAGCTACTCGTATATGTGATTCTATACTTATAGAGAGACAGACAGAGAGAGAGAGAGAGAGAGAGATGGGTGGGTGTGGGTGGGGTTGGGTGGGAGTGGATACGCGGAAGTAACTGGATGGAGAAGAGACCCAGAGGTGGGCTTTTACTGGGTCGTGGGAGCGGTGATTCATGCCATTATAATTGGTTGGGGGAGATAAGATATTATATGCGTTTGTTTAGTTTATATGCCAAGATATTTTTGTGAAAAAATCTTAAAATTTTATTTGATTTAAATTTTTTTTAAAAAAATTAAAATTATTTTTTTTTTCTCATATACATTAATTAATTTTTTTTCTCTCTTTTCTCTTTTTTTTAATTATTTTTTTATCTCACATACATCTTATCAATTATAATAAAATATCAAATTATCCTAAACTCCTAAACTCTAAAACTATTTTTAAAATATACTACCAAACAAATTAAAAAAACTTCTAAACTCTCTTTTCCAAAAAAAATTTAAAAATTTATCTCAAAACACAAATACACCTTATAATTTTGTATTATGCAATTTCAAAATATAAAAATTATGATAAATAATAATTAATAAAAGAATATCAACGCGCAATAGTGATTGGTACCTAATAATTTTCCGGAAATTAGTTACGGGGATCAAAGCACAGTGTTTTCTATTTTAACCAATAGATTAATAATGAGGATTACCTTGGTGTTTGTCTAGGTATAACTAATGATAAGGAGATTTTTTTTTCCTTTTTTTTGGATTAGTTTTACTACAAACTCATGTTGATAATCCCATGTATTGTTGTTCAATTCAAAGTTAAGCTTATTTTTTAAATTTAGTAATGTGTCGAGATTATAATTGATTGTGAAAATGAGATATCATAATTTTATATTAAGTAATTTAAAAATATAAAAAAAAATGATAAATAATAATTAATAAAATAATATGAACACGCAATTGTTGTTGTTACCTAACAATTTTCCGGAAATTAGCTGCTGGGGACCAAAGCACAGTGTTTTTCTAATTAAACCAATAAATCAATAATGTGACAATCTTGGTGTTTGTCTAGGTATAATTAATGATAGGGAGATGTGTTTTTTTTTTTTTTTTTTTTTTTTTTTTTTGATAGGTTTTATTGCAAACTCATGTTGATAATCCCATGTATTGTTATTTAGATTTAAAGTTACACTTATTTTTTAGATTTAGTGATGTATCAAGAAAATGATTAGTATTAATCAATTATCTTCTTGACACATCATTGAATCTAGAATATGGATCTAAAAAGTGAATTTTTATGTTATTTTTCTAATTTAAATCGTTCAATATGTATGATTCGTCGAGTACATTACTCTTCTAAAAAATCATATTAATTGTATAGCAATAATCATTTGATCAGATATATTTATGTTAATAGCAAGCATAATTTTAAAAGCAAACCATTGATTTAAATGTAATCTGATTAAGTGATTATTAATGTCCGATTAATATGATTTTTTTCAAGAATTATGTACTTAACGGGTTTTACATATTGAACAATTTAAATCATTAAAATAGGTTTAGAATATAACCCACCACAAACTAACAACATATCCGCTAGCCTGATTAAGAAGGGTAGGGATGTCTCTCCCTTAATGATATATTATTTGTTAAAATAAACAAAAATTGACAACTTGATATTTGTTGATAATTTAATGAATCTTCAAATACTAGATTTCATAACCATTTATATTTATTGTAATAGTTATTAAATTTTGTTAAAGTTTGATGAATATTAAAGTAGAGAGATAATATGGTAAATTTAAGGGAGTGGTTTCTTTCCAGTCTCAAATCGGACACTTTTTGAGTTTCGTTTTGATAATTTGAACGGTTGACATTTTAGGGTTTGTCGAGTATATCATCACTGTTAAAAAAAGTTGACCGGATAATAATAATCACGTATTCAGATTAGTTTGTATGAGAAAAATAGACAATGAGAAAATAAATCGTTCATATAAAATTGATTCAAGCACGTGGTTCCGTTATCCAATCGACTTATATTTTTGCAATGATGGTATACTTAACGAACCTTAAAATATGAACGGTTCAGATTATCAAAACGAAGTCCAAAAGCAAACCCAATGAGTTAGATTGAATTGTTCAATTCGATTTAAAATTAGAGACGGTTTAGACCCTTAAATTTAAATGTTGCCCATTTTATTCTTAAAAATTAATTATCATTTATTATAATATAATTAATTCAACCCCTAATTGTTGATAAAGAAGTGCCTATAGGTACACATTGACCGGACTTCTATTTTTAAATGGACATGTGAACATGCCACTGGTTGTTAGGCGCTTTTTCGTTTCTCTTTGACAAAACAAAAGGTACAAAAGGTTGTTACATGTCAATTCACCCCCCCGACCGGGGCCAATTTGTCATGTAATCGATATAAAACAGACAGGACAAATTACGAAAAACTTACAAAAATGATTTGGACCATTAAAAAAGGACCTCTAATGCATTTTTAATTTGTCTTTTTCTTTTTTCTTTTTTGTCTTTTACTTCATTTTTTTTTTTTTTTTTTTAATATAGGTGACAGCTCATTAGAGCTGCACTGTTGCAGCTCTAATTAGAGCTCCGGAACATGACCCAAAAACTTATTCCAAATTATCAATCGAGTTTCTTTCCTCCTCTTTTTTTTTTTTTTGGTAATTACCTCAGGGTTACTTTTTTATTTTTTTTTTTTTTTGCTTTTTTAATGCATTAGTGCTATTAGTGGCGGTGTTTTTAGTGGGATGAATCATTGTTGCCAATTTGTCATGTACTCGATATAAAACAGACAGGACAAATTACGAAAAACTTATTCCAAATTATCAATCGAGAGAAGATAGGATAGAACAGAATAAGAGAAGTAAAACTTGCCCCGCTCCATTTCCACAAGGGGCGGAAAACCGTGCAGGGCGGGACGAGAAAACGCGGGTGCGGAAGAGAGAAATACCCATCCCCATTCCAACACATTTGACGGCGGAACTTTTGGGTAATTAACATACCGGAGCCCTCAATGGTAGTTTCACATCAAATTACTTCCTTATCCTTTAATTTTGGATAGGTTGGAACAGGCCATTTGTTTTGGGGTGTAATGGATGAAATGGGGTTAAGATGGAGGTAGGGTTATTTAGTGTCGTGTTTGTTTGTAAAGTTGGGGAAGAGATTATGATGGAAGAGGGTATTAAGATGGAGGTTGGAAGGGGGATTATGATTGAGGAGGTGGAGGTAGTATTCGAAAAATAATGAGAGGATTAGAAATTTTTATTTTATTTTATACATATTGAGAATTTTTTTTGAATATTAATGTTTAATTTTTATATTTTTTATTTATTTTACTATTTTATATAAAAATAATTTAACAATTCTTACACTAACAACTATCATCAAAACAAACACAATTTTACTTAATCCCCTAACTATCAATCCCCTCACTATCAATCTCCTCCATTCTACCTCTGAAAACAAACGAGGCCTAGGATACTTCTTATTTATTAGCTTTTAGTAGGGTGCAATTCGGACAGATTCGATTGAGTTGGGAGGTTATTCAAGTCCCGCCTAAGTTATGCTGAGACCTATCCAGACTCAAATTATAACTCGAGATTGTCTGTTCAAACCCGATTCCATTTAAAACCGAATTGCCCAAATTGTCCAAATTACCCGAATTGTACATGGATTTAGTTTTTATTTTCCAGCTAAATTATTAATTTATTAATATTAACTTTATTTAGATTTTTTTTTTAGAAAATCATTCATAATATCCAAACAAATAATTTATATAATGTAAGAGAGATGTCGCTATAATAATTTTTATAATTTATGAGAGAATAAAAAAGGTAAGATTTTGTCTTACTTGTATATATAATATATATATTTAATATGATTTAATAATCTTAAATGCTTTATTATCATATAATAGTTAATAATTTATATATATTTAATATTTTTATATATCTATAATTCAGGTTGTTAGGTTATTTGATATCTTTAGCCTAGCTCACTCAAATTTAATTTAAACTTTTAAATTTTGTGCATAAGTCCATACCAAATTTAAAAATATCTTATATAAATCCTAAAAAAATTCAGACTAAATTTGAGTTGCTGGGTTAAGGCCACCCAAATTGCACTTCTAACGTTTAGGTGTTCTTTTTTAATTTCTCTACTCTATCTTGTCTAGATAGACTCTTCTTCAGACACAGAGGGCATGTTTGATTGAATGAATTAGAGTATGAGATTGAGATTATTAATCCGTGGACCAAATTATCCTATGTTTGTTTTAACATTTTGGTTTAGGATTATTAATCTAATGAATAATTAATCCAACAAATTTGTAGGATTATTAGTAATGGGGTAGAGGTGGGATTATTAATCCAATGGATAATTTATCCTATTAATCGAATTGGATAGTGAATCCCACACTAAGTTGATAAGATTATTAATAACTCACTATTAGTCTTGTGAATCAAACATGACCAGAATGTATAGGTACCCGGTAGTGAGTTGGAATCATGCACACTCATCATTGATTGATCATGGCAGTCATCTAATCAAAGTGCGGGGATAGCATGGATTTGCTTAGATAACAAGAACCAAACAATCAATCAAAAAGCACGATGCATCTACTCCAAACTCCATTGGTGGCGGAAGCGATAGCATGCTTGGAAGCTATTAGATGAGCAGTGAACAAATGGATGAAATGTGTAAGAGTTCAAACGAATTGTCAAGTTCTGGTGAGAATGCTCCAAAAGAAAAGAATTCAGATAGATTGACAGATTGATATTGTTATTAATGATATTATACATTATGCTAACTGTTTTGACTACTTTTGTATAGTAAAATAGGAAGAAATGTAATTCAATCATCACATGAACTGGCAAAATGTGTTATTAAGTTTTAAGTAATATATTAAGGTTTCTAGTACTCTTCCTCCTCATATATATATATATATATATATATGTTCATTGAAAAAAAATATAGGTAAATTATTAATAGGTTTTAATAATTAAACTTAATTTTCATATATTCAATATGATTTAATAATTTTAAATATTTTTTATCATGTAATAACTAATAATTTA